TGGTAAGAATGTAATGCTTTTGAAAAAGAGTGAGCTTCCAATGAAGTTGAATCCAAAAAAATTATCAAATAACAATTCTAATTCGGAGGATCCACATTACAAAATAAAGCAATTGGTCAAGGGATCGCGCTCTACAAAAAGAGTGAGTGGCGTTTTAGTTGAAAAATCTGAATGTTTCAAATACCATAGTAAATCATTAGGCTCGAGATTGAAAAATCGCCTTTCTCCGTCAAAGAATGTTGATTACGACTAATTGGAAGATCTACAACGAGAGTCATGGAAAAATTGGAGGGGTATACAGAATGAATAAATTCTATTTATGAACTTATAACATGAAGTCTGGTGAAACAATGATCGGCCACTGTGAGGGAACGAAGCAATAGCATTTTATTTGATTCATTTTATTATGCTGTCTGAGTCTATGACTATGTAGGACATGCAGGTCCTCTATGCCCATAGGCCAAGGATACCTATCCCAGAAGTATATCCCCTCCTATACCTCCCATACAGCTCCCCTCAAACAGTACCACTCCTTATAAGCCCTCATTCGATCATACGTTTGGAGGAGCCCTTTGCCTTTCATTATATCCCATCTCCATCCAACGTAACGATGGCCACTTGCGGGTGTACGGCTGCCAGGAAAGTCACAAATACCACTGAGTGCGGAGCCATTCTACTACCGACATTAGGACAGATCCGGTGACATAGTTGTTGTAATTTGATTGCTGGATATGACGGTGTAGCTTATCACAGTTAAAGGGTGTATTCTAGAACGCAGTGGTGGCTTGTTACAAATACGATTCCGACAATACAATTGAAGGTTGTATGAAAGTTTGGCACTTCTATGGGTCTCAATTGTGTGGAAGTTGATTCAATTATTGATGATAATTACTTGTTATGTCTATCTACAGAGAATGTGCCGGGGACTATTCTCAACACCTGTGAGCGGTGTCCCCTACGAACCTCCAGTTCTCACTGTAGAGTCTGCGGAGCCATGATCGAGTTACAAAGTCCTAACTTGGATGAAGATTCCCAATCGCTTTCGCAGACTTTACCTTCTTCACCCCTCTACACTTCCCCCCATCACCTCTATCTTGAAGCTTACCACGATCAGAGCAGATGTCAGGGTCGAAACCCTACTCATCACCAAACCTTGATCACGGAGGAGAAGCCATCCGATGAGTTTCCGGAGCGTTCCCAGCACCCGATACGGAGATGGTGGATTGGATCAAGATGGCCCCTAATGTTACAGAGAAGAAAGGTATTAGATAACACATCTCATATAGTCCCGGTGTCTAGGCCTCGGTTGGCTGGGACTGCAGGTTTCTTGAGACTTTTTCCCGCGCATGCAGTTTCCTTTGCTACCATTTTTATTTTTTTTGGGTAGAAAGTTCCGTGGAAAAGGTGGCTGATTCCACGGTTAAATACTGAGCTGAATGGCTATTCATTACGGGTAATATATCAATGATCTTTCAAGTAACAAAAGAGGATAGGAGCACTGTACAAGGTGTGGCCTGGGTCAGAGAGGAGCCCAATGTGCTAGATAATCATAGACTCATGAAGTACAATAAGACACATACACACATACCGAGAATGTGCTACAGTTCTACGTGTGCCCGTAATCAATTAGATTTGGCTAGTGGGCGGTCCCCTCTTTTACTTCGCTCCCGTATTCCATCACGTGAGATGTAATAACTGCTCACCACAAAGTCCGCAGATTGAACAGCGTTAGATCACAACAATAGTGACCCTTCTGAAGCGTTCGATAGGAGGACAAGACTGAACACCTGTACGCGGCGTCCTCTACGAAGCTGGGAGTGAAATATTCTCCCACAGCCAAGTTCAGTCAAATTTCGTAATACCGAACAAGTTGGCCCACGAGGCAATGATTCAAACTACTCCACCACGTCAATTTTTTACTCCCAAAGAGTCTGATTCATACCTAAGCCTCATCAAGACTACAAGTACGACCTAGTACATCCTTATTCCAATGATCACACCTCTCGTCGACTTTCTCTGACCTCGGCCGGTCACCAAATACACGCCCACGCCGATATTTATACCCGACGGAGGAAACAAAGTGTGGCGCACAAATCTGGGAGATAGTTCTTTAGGAATGGCGTGAGAGGATTCAGGACAAGTTAACAAGATGATGCAAAGGATGGGTACAGTCTCAACAGGCGTGGAATTTTGAATTTTGGAAAGGAGTTTTGTTGGAAATGGAGACACGGAGTGTTGTGGACGTATGGGCCCTCCATTTCGTCTAGGTTCCCGACACGATCTCTTGTGTATTTAAGAGGTTGGAATAGGTAATATGGTAGCGCTTCAGGTTACCTATTGGAGACATGAGCGGCTGTATGGCGTGGGCGCAAGGAGGTTATTGGGGGTTTTCTATGCCTAGATGGCGCCACACTCGTTTATACTGTGACTTAGGCTATGTGTCGCTTACACTTGTACTTGTAGCGCACACTTCCCACACTTTTAGCTGTAATCCGAACATGACACTCTTTTAGTCAACTTCTACTTTCATTCCATGAATATTGCGCCCATTACATTGCGCGATATTTCCAACAAGTTTGTACAAATTGAGCTTTGTGTGTGCCAAGACTTCGTTTGCGAGAGTGCAGGCGACACTTCAAACACCGCCATGGTTGGATGGTGCGGTGGTACATCGTCTTGGCTGGTCTGCCAACTAGAGTCTGGGTAGCTTGGACACATATCCCACTTGAGACAGTTGATCGCTGGTTCAAACCCGGCAAACCACAACCACTTTTCTCGCGCCGCTGTTATGTATGGATGACGAAGGCATGCTTGGATAACCAAAGTTTTTGAAACGTCCCTTTGTTTGGTACTTACGAAGGAGGGTCGACTCTTTGTGTAAGCAAGCATACCTCACAGTGGTATTTACAAATGAAATCCAGAGTATGAGTGTCTCTAACGTCAAAAGATTCATTCCACATGTACACATAGCACCGGTCATGTGTCATAGCTAGATAGCTGAATACACATCAAATGATTTGAAAAAAAAACAATCACGCTCTGTCGACACTTTTCTGATATTTCAGCTCGACCTTCGGATAGGAGTTGGAAGGAGGCTGGAAAGGCAGTGGATGAATTTCTCGAGGTACACACAAGTCTGCAGCGCCCAGCTGGCCGGCCTTTTTGAACGCTTCGGATTTGGTCTTGATGTCTGTATTAGGAGAGCTCCGCACCCAGTAGTTTTGGCGACTTTTCCCGGCTGCCATACACCCGCAAGTGGCCATCGTTTCGTTGTCTGGAGAGGGGAGATAATCAAGGGCAAAGTGCTCCCCCAAGTGTATGATCGAATGAGGGCTTATGAGGGTTGTTACTGTTTGAGGGGAGCTGTATGGGAGGCATAGGAGGGGATATACTTCTGGGATAGGTATCCTTGGCCTGTAGGCATAGAGGACCTGCATGTCCTACATAGTCATAGACTCAGACAGGACAATAAAATGAATTAATAATATCTTGTATTAATTTTCTTGACTATTTGTGTCGAAATAATTAATAGTGCCTTATGATTAAGGTATGAAGTGTCATAGCTAGTTAGGCTGCATACACTCAATGATTGAAAAAAAAAAAAAAAAGATTAAGGTACGAAAGCCCCAAGCTTTCATCAAAACTTAGGGGAGATCGCCAGAACAGTTTTGGTGGGATATAGCCTGGAGGAGCCCATGCTAGATCTACAGAAATCAATAGAATTTAATTTATATACCTAATGAGTCTTTGACTATGAAGGACAGCCTAAAACTATCTACGTAGCCTTAAAGTTATGTGTCATAGTAAATAGGGCATGACCCTCATCATCCATTGGCAAAAATTAAGCACAACAACATACAAACTTACTATTAACTTTTAAGCTATTTTGATAGTTTTTGCTGCCCTTTATAGTCATAGACTCAGTAGGGACATAAGTAAAATTCTATTCTATTATGTGTCATAGCTCAATAGCTGAATACACATTGAATGATTTTTTTCTTAAAAGAAAAGCCTTAAAGTTAATAGTAAAATTGGATTTTGATATGCTTTACATTTGCCAATAGATGATGTAGGTCTTGCCTTATACTGCAAGATCTATATGTTGATATCTTGGGTCGAGGCCTACACGAGTTGAAGGCTCAAACATGAGCCGAACTTTCAAACCCGTGTAGAATTCGTAGGGTATAAGATGTGGCTTAGTGATACTGATACTGATCTATACTTAATTTGAATTCTTGTGAAGTATTATTAAGTAGCATGATGGTTGTGAAAGGAGTAGTAAGGTGAGCTGTGCGAGTTTTCGCTTCCGAGAAAGATGCCACAACCTTGAAACTGACCACCAGTTTGGATGAAAGTAAAGTCTTAGGACGTACTTTGGTAAAATACACTAAATTAATTACTTCTTAAAATCGTGAGGTAGTAGTTTGTTGGTGTGTCATTCTTGAGCAGGCCTGATGGACTACTTTTGGCCAGAAGCCGTTGCTGCAGAATCTATTCGGGCCTACATACTAACTATAGCCTCCTTTCAGTCTCAGGCTCGCAGCATATTATTTTTCTGAAGATAGGCCAGCTTCCATCATTCACTAGTGCCCTATAACTTTTCTACCCTCCTTGGAGAACCATGATTAGCAACCCTGCCATTTATTAAAGGTAACCTCGAATCAGAATTTAAACGACATGCTTCTAGGTAATTTGCCCTGTATAGTTGTAAAATATTACAGCACTTATATGGATTAATAATTATTTTCTTCAAGTGTGATTTTGTAGCATTATTAAAAATTTTGGACAAATATGGATCCTCCGATTTGACTTGTGGAAGGTTAGCCTTTCCACCATTAGAGAATCTAACAATGCCAAGACTAGAGCCTATGAAATCCAGGCTGAATACACAATTCAAATTTTAACAGTATGGTTATTTAAATATTGCCCCAATTGCCCCATGAAATCATCTATCGCATATCTAGCAGCGTATTTATAAATATATCTTAATTGTCATCAGAATGCACTCAAGCAATTGGCGCATCAAGTCCGATGGATCTAGCTCCTCTAGTATACGTATGGACCGAGATGAGACCCGTATCAACGAGACAGAAGAGATAGGAGAGAATAATTATGGCATTCGATTGGATGTGACTAACTCATCTTTGGGATATTCGGATATGACTAGTCCACACAGAGAAAAATTATGTCAGAATGGCCTTAGGAAACCTATACAGGATGCAAAGGTTTGTGCAAGAATTCAATGGACTGAGACTAGATCGGTCTATACTACGAGGTTATTTTTTATTATTATTGCATACTGACCACATATTTAGGCGGAACAAGCCATAGAAGAAGGTCGACGATTGTACGTCGGCAATATGCCATATGAAGCAACACCGAAAGATGTTGAGCGACTGTTTGAAAAGATAGCTAGTGGAATCGAAGCCATTAACATGTCTGTTGATCCTATGACGGGCCGGAACCCCTCTTACTGCTTTGTGGACTTCGTTAGCAAAGAGCTTGCTATGCAAGTAATGGCAGAGTACAATGGTCGTGATTTTATGAGGCGGGAACTAAAGGTCAAACCTGGTGTTAAGTCTGGAACTGGGACCGGAAAATTTCATCTACGCCCAACTCATATTTTACGTGATCATCCAGCAGCTACAGAAAGATGGACTCGACTTGAAAACCCTGAAGATCAGCAAGATGCCACTAAAGAGGGGCGGAGATTATACATCGGAAATCTTCCTAGGTTTCAAAACTATGCAGTGGCGAACCGTCGTATTCGTGAGCTTCTCCAAGATTACGCAGTAATAACTGTGAGCAAATTAATATCACCAACTGAGACGAATGGGGACACTTCATGTTACTGCTTCGTTGATCTCGCAACTTATGCAGACGCGGACCGGGCCATTAGAGACCTCAACGGTGCGAGCAAGTTCTCATCATGCCCTAGACCATTAAAGGTCAACCGGGCGAGCGGCATTTCCAAAAAGTTGGGTGAGCGCAGGCGTTTATATTTTGGAGGACTTCCTAAATTCTATGATCAATTTGAACTTGAGCTAGTAGTGAGAGAAATATTTGAGGACTTCAATGTCTCTTCCGTCAGCAAGCTTTTTACGCCTCGTGAGGTAAACGGAGCACGGGCAGGATCTAATTGCCATTTTTGTTTCGTTGAGCTAGAGACAGAAGAAGAAACCACTCGAGCAATGTCAGAGCTTGATTGGAAGAAAATGTGGGGTGGTAGACTACGAGTAAAGCCTTCAACCTCTGTAAAGCCAGACGATAACTCTATCAAAAGAAAAAGCTCAATGAGTAGGAGTTGATTCAAGAATGCCAAGGATAATGATGACTTCCAAATCAAGTCTTTTTGATCAAGAAATTCAACTTACTACTCTCCTCAGAGCCCTATCCGGAATAGCAAAGTATTGAACCGAATCAAATAATGTCTAGTTAAAGTGACATCTCGTACAGCCTAGCCTTCATTCTCTCGTATCGAGAAATACAAACAAGATGGTACAATTATTTGCAATAAATAATTCACTGCCTCTCCAAAGTATCTTGTGCTTCTCACCCTTTTTTCAAAATAAACGTTAATGATGCCAATATTTCTGTAAGTCCTGCTGTATAGTTTGGATAAAAGATCACCTTGCAAAAAATGACTTACTTATGTGCTGACACGTACACTCCAACCCCGTCAGACCGGTCAAATGCGTAGCCTTTCACCAGATGGCCGAGGTTACGATGGGATAAAATTTTGTCTCAAGAACAACGACTATTTGCTACTCATTATTCTTCGACACTCTTCCGCCAATATAATTTACCGAGACCTAGCTTCTAAGCCCTGCAAAAACAAAAAACTATAAGCAGGTATAGAGGGTCTGTGAACAGTCATCTCGCCGTCAGTCGTCCTATATCTTTTTCCGACGCACCAAGTTACTTTGATTGGAAGGTATCATTATAGCGTAACAAAGACTAAGCACATTTCCACGGTATCCTCTTCGATCCCGGAAGTGGAGTATTCTCTCAGAGCTGAGTCCGAATAAATTTAGCAACACCGAAGAAGCTGACCAACGAGGCATAATTCAAGAAACAAAAGGACCTCAATTCTTCACTCCCATCAAGATCGTTCCCCAATAAAGCCTTATCACTCTAAAGATACGACCAAATACATATTAATTTCTATGAACGTAACCCTCTCCGACTCAGTCTCTGGCTACTTGGCCTTCAAATACACGCCCACGACAATATAGATGCCCACAGGAGAAAAAAAGCCGGGGTGCAAAAATCTGTTAAAGTAGATAAGAAGATATTAGCGAGATAATGTAAAAAATGTAATCAAGCTCGAAAAGGGGTAGTATCTTGATTTTTATAAAAACATTTTCATTTTGAAGAACATTTTGCACCCCATGTCCTGGTTTACAACGGTACAGGTGATACCACAAATATGACCATGGCTGACTAGCGCAGGGGCGCATCTTCCAAGATAGTCTCCCAAGTAGAGTTAGGATAGCTTTGACTCCTATCTCACTTGAGACAAGAGATCGCTAGTTTTATTTAAGCAAGGCAATTTCACATTTATAGCGTTGCTAGTGTGCAAGTATGATGAAGGTGTGCTTAAATAATAAATTGGGTTGAAATTTCCCTTTGATGGGTATTCACAAGGCAGAGTCACCTGTTCAATTTAAGAATATATGCCATCACGGTATTCGCAAATAGGATCCAGAAATTGAATCTCTGAATCCAAAAAAATTATTATGCATGTACACATAGCACTGACCATTTGTGATAGCTAGAAAACTGCATACACGACAAATAATTTAGAAGGTATCTTTCTATGAGCCACTGTTTAGGTTTAAAGATTACAGAAAATAGCTACATGTCCAATACCTGATAACATCAGCTCTCAGCATGGTAAATTGAGCAAGACTTATCTTTGGGGTCAGGAGACGGCTCCCAAGAAAAAAGTCTATTATTTGCACGACAGCATGTTTATAATTTTCTCGAATGTGAAGCACAAAGCCTTTACTTTGACCCAGATCCTTAATCCTCTCAATGTTATAGCAAGAGGTCTTAAAACTGGATGCACGAAAATTCTTGTAACAATCGACCAGAGCCAACAAGTTTAACTGCAAAAAGCATAAAAGCTCAAACTTTATTTGATCTCATTAGCTCGGTTAGAAACTCTCTCGGGCCCATTCAAGTTTCTAGTACTTAAACAAGGGCGAAGGAGGAAACCATTACACCAAAAGCCCTCCGTATTAAAGCTCTAGAGGTATCTAGAATGGTGGAAGTGAATGTTGACTATCAAGTCAATACTGTATGAATCGTAAGATATTGGGGGTTTCAAGATCAGAGATGTAAGGTTAGGATCAGTGGGTTTTTGGTTTTACTGATCTTATATTTAGTTAGTTAAAAGTATTAGGTTTTAATCTACATCTAATTATCTATCTATGTTCAACCTCGCTTAGGTAGAAACATAATGTTCTGATAACGTGATGGAATAACAATCCCGCCACCGAGATCATTACCAATCGAGGCCTCACCAAAGCTGGTAGCGATCGAAGATGAGTAGCCTTCGTCTACTCCGCACTGCGTGCAGTTCGGTCTGGCATGTCTAGATTTCAACACTCCGACCCGGTTTTTCTCTACCCTATTGAACTTCCCTTTGCTACTTCAGGTATTATAACTACTCTTTTCACATAAATTAGGTTCTCACTACTTCATTATCTTGATGCCTCATAATCTTTTCATTGCTGCCTCGACTCTCCCTGCAATTTGAAATAATTCAAGCCAGCCCTCGCTTGAGACACACATAGTGACTCAAGATACATCATCCAGACTTACTTCTTGTTTTTAATGGATCTCTCTTGTGCTAGTCGCAGTATATGTTCTTTTATCAGGGTAGTATGAACTGTTAGAAGTTGGAATAATCGGGGCTATCAAGTAGGCCACGTTGTTGACACACACGTGACTACAAATATGTACCTGGTTTCACCTCGGTAGTTACCTAAACGAATGGTCCCGCCTTTACAGCGGAAACAAACACCCAACCATGGGAATTCGCTGGATTCTAGGCTCTCCTGAAGGAGCCATAGCTTTTAGTAAATGGCTTCATGAAATGTGCTTTTTTGAAGCATGCAACAACAAGACTAACTAGTACCCCAAATTATATGCACTTGGCCTGTATTTGACAGAGCTAAGATCAGAAGACTTCTGGTCTAGGTGATGGATAACTTTCCTTTTCATATATATTATTATCTTCTCTACTGTATTAGAATACAAAAGTCTCAGCTGGAGAGTACTTTTGACTTCTTTCGATAGTCCGGGGTGCATGGCAGGTAGACCTTGGCCCATTTATAACATGTCGGGCTTATTTAAAGGTATCGGCACGTCGGGTAGTTTATGTAGACTGAGCCGGCCAACACGAGACCTCAAGGTTAAGTTGTGAGCTAGCACGACGTTAAATAATAATATTAAAAAATAAAAATAAAAAACCTAAATGAATGCATGGAGCAGCGAGAATTCATCATCTCTATTGAAGATACTACCTCCCCGCCCTTCCAAACTCACTGTGGTCTCCCACAGGGTTCACCAGTATCGCTAATTCTATTTCTTCTGGCTATGAAAGAGGCACTACGTCTTTCCACTGGCCGCTTTGGCTATGCAGATGACATTGCCCTTTTCGCGTCTGCGTCCTCCTTAGACGAATGTGCACGTAAACCCCAGGAGAAATTAGATAGCACTATAGCATGGGGTCTGACTAACGGAATTAGTTTCGAACTTCCTAAGACTGAGCTACAATACTTTCACCGGAAGCGAGGCTCACCACTAGAGCCTACTCTTAGTATTGGAGGGACAACTATAACGCCCAATGACCACACTCGCTGGCTTGGAATCTTTTTCGACCGTGCTCTTCGGTTCCAATATCATACTAAACATGCTTGCCGGTGTTGAAATTAAACTTAGAATATGCAGAACTCCTCGAGTGATCACGGAGAAATAACGAAGTATATACTTCAAGGGGTATCCGTAGATGTGAATTATGTTTATGGTAAAGGCTTGGTCGAAACTCTTGATCTTTACTAAAGGATATGAGACTGTCTATATACATTGATGTCTGGCAATGACATGGGCTAGAGTATAATGCTCCATTACGGGATACAACGGGACAAACTACAGATCTGATACCAGTTACGCGTATTCTCGTCGCAGTCTCGAATATCAGACGTAACAAAAGATGATGGTGTAACTAATAGCGGATAGGCGACACCCGACAATCTTGATGGACACATACTGAAACCACAAGCACGGGGAGTGTCTACGTTGGTTTCGCAACAGCCGGAAGTCTCTAGCTATCACGAGCCATATGAAAAGACTGTCCACAACCACTCGAGGAATTAGCCCTCTTTTTCTAAGACAAGCTTTACATGGTGCCGCATTTTCAACCCTTTTCTACGGGGCCGAGACCTGGTACTCTAAACAGACTTCACAAAAAACTATCTTGCAAGTCCAACATAGGATGAACAACGCGGCACGGGCAGCTCTCCCAGTCTACCGTACCACACCAATAGCAGCACTTCTACGTGAAGCTGGCTGGGGCCCAGCTCAGACGTGGATTAACAGAATCCACAGCCGTCTAGGGTTTCGAATTGCTGCAGCTGACCCCTATCACCCTCTTCGTAGGCGTTGGAACACTAGCCGTATGCGCTGGATCCGCCAGAGGATTTCACTAGAACTTTCCGAAGATACCATCCCCCCACCATGGTCAGCACCCCGTGAGGAAAAGCTAATCGAAATTGGGGTAGTAGGTAGACTCTCGGGATCAAATTCCTTCAAACAGTGGCAGGCTGCTCGACCCATTCTAGACTTATTCGTATTTTCAGATGGAGCTCTCATAGCAGACCGAGCAGGCGCGGGGTACGTGGTCTATCGTGGCCTTACGCAGGAGATTGGGCGAGGATCACTCCCTCTAGGAAACTCGGCAGAGGTCTATGATGCTGAAATTGCCGGGGCCACGGAAGGCCTTACTGCAGCACTCCTCAACCCACTGGCTTTCTATGCCTCTAACGTCACCGTTTGCCTTGACAACCAGGAGGCCGCGCTCCGTCTTCTCTCTGATGTTCCCACAGCGTCTAGCTCAGCGAAAATCTTTCTCTTTCGCAAGCTTGCAGCAAACTGTAAAAGAAGGTCACGCGGCCAAAACACAACGCCTGGGGAAGTGGCCATCCGATGGTGCCCGGACCACACAGGTATTCTGGGAAACGAAGCAGGCGACGCGCTTGCCAAAGCTGCTTGTGCGGCTCCAGCTCTACACTCGGTATTC